TAAGTAAGGTACCAAGAACAAAAAACCCAAGAAAAAACAAACTTTTTTTTGTGACAAAAGATGAAAGAGGAACTCTATGATATCCATTTAAAAAGAGTACTTTTTGTGCTGGGACCCTGGATCTATCTGGAGTACTGTGTCCAGTTTTGGACCCCCCACTACAGAAAGGGTAGAGACATTGGAGAGATTCTAGTGGAAGGCAACGAAGATGTTTGGAGGGCTGGGGGACATGACTTATGAGGAGACACTGAGGAAGATGGGCTTATTTAGTCTGCGGAAGAGAAGACTTGGAGGGGTTTTAATAGCAGCCTTCAGCTACCTGAAGGTTGGTTCCAAAGAGGATGGAGCTAGACTGTTCTCAGTGGTGGCAGATGACAGAACAAGGAGCAATGTTCGAAGGTTGCAGCAAAGGAAGTTTAGGTTGGATATTAGGAAGAACTCCCTGATGAGGAGGGTTGTAAAGCACTGGAACAGGTTACCCAGAGTGGTTGTTGAACCTCCATCTTTGGAGGTTTTTAAGAACTGGATAAACAAAGCCTTGGCTGGGATAAAATAACTGGGGATGGTTCTGCTTTGAGCAGGGTTTGGACTAGATGACCTCCTGAGGTCCCTTCCAACCCTAATTTTCTATGATTGTATGATCATAGCAGATGTAAGAGCTCCCGCTAATGCACACGTTAGATTACAAAGAAGGATGTTAAAAAGCAGAATCAGGATCCTATGCAAAGTGTTTTGGGAAGAAAATCTATTAATTAGTGTTCTTTAGTGGCGTATCAGATAAGAGTCAGATTCTTAATTCTGGAGACAACTCAACAGATCCCCAGACAGAGAGAGAGAGAGAGAGATCTATATCCATCAATCTATGCATCTAACCTAAATTCAGTGAACAGTCCTTTTCTGATAGTCTTTCATTTGTTAGGACATTTTATTCTGGGTATGTCCACAGGCCCTTTCCTGTAACAGAACTTTCAGGGAAGGTTATGGTAGTAAACATGTAAGTTATTATGCTATAGTATGTTAACACACCAAATGGATGGCACTAGTTGCTCCCAGAGTAATGAAAACAGCATAATTGAATTTTATGGCCATAATTTCTCAGGTGACACCTACATCTAATTTTTTCAGATCACAAATAAAAATAATGTTTCTCTAATTGCCTCCAGTGCACTCTGAACCAATGGTTGGAAAGTTTCTTTTCTTTTTGATCTATTATGCATCATCCTTAAGAGGATATTCTGAACTTAACATTGGGTAAGCTAGCATGGCAACCAATTTGAGCTCCCCTTGAGATTTTGGGTCTTCAGACTGAAAAAGAGCAATTTTTTCTCACTGAAGCAAGCAGGTAAGATGCCAGTTATTTCTTTTTATTTCAATACGTATAGTAGGCTCATCTTAGGCCTCGTTCAAAGGCAACGAAAATTAGTTAGCAGGGTCATGGTACTTTCAATGGATTTAGGATCAGGACACTTATGCTTCTAGATCCCACTTCATTACTACATTAGTTAAGCACATACTTAATGAAGTCCACTAAAGTGCTTTGCTGGCCTGGGGACTGAGTACATAAAAGGAATCAGAACAAGCGATGGATAGGTGCTATATTTACAATCCTTTTTTCTAACCTTAACTACACTTCAATATTGAACCTGTAATTCAAAATTGAACAAATATAGAATGGCATAAAAAAACATGACAGCTAACCATTCATACAATTGTATTCTCTATAGTATATTCAGGCTAACTCCTAAACCTCTCAGGTTATTAGCCTCAGGAGAATACTAGACAAGTCTAGCAGACCTCATTGTCAGGAGTCATCTTTCCTCAATTATTCATCCTTTTCTCCAAGTTTCATCCTATGTTTTTCTTTGCAGAAAAAAAAAAAAAAAAAAAAAAAAGAAATTCTCACATCTGGATCACTGCTGCATGTTTTAAAGCAACCATTATTTGACAGGGCAATTTATTCATGTGTTGGGTAAACTCTGATAGAGCTCCTGGATAATCCAATCATCTTGAGAGCTAATGAAGCCACATCTACCTTTATTCCTTCTTGTTGACAGAACAGTTGAAGTGCACTTCCATTGTTTTCAGGGAAGGTAGTTATATGGAGGTTAAATGCTGGCGACCTTCGTTCTCTCTCCTGAGGAAAGATTTTGTTTCAAAAACAATACATGTGATTACATCGAAACATTAATTCGCCATACCCTGAGTTACTCAAAAATCCTACATTTACTGATAGTCATAATCCACAGATCTCTATTCAGATTCAAAATACATTGTGGTTTTCCAGACTCCTTAGAGTTTTGGCATGGGACAAAAGCCCCAATTATACAACGAACCCATGCAAGCAGTGTCTCTGAAGTTTTAAAACTAATAAGGGTCCAGATGGGGCATATAACCGTAACACTTGGGGATGTAGGAAGTATTTGAGACAATTGTCTCGTAGAAAGAATATTTTATTTATTACTTTATACATGGACCAGAAGACTATAAGAAAAAGGTTCACAGAATGAAACCTCAAATTAATGCCAAATCATATTTTGACTTTGAGAATACTCCCTCATTCTGAAATGATATCATTTTCATTCTTAATTTAACAGTAAAGCCCCATCTCAACTCATCATTTATATTACAATAAAACTGTTTTGCATCTGAACTCTACATACCAGTCTTCTAAATCCTCAAAAGCAAAAGAATTCACTACTCACCCAGGTTTTTATTTTTTAAATATACTGGTGCCCTACATTTAATCTTTTTGGTGCCAAAAACAATAAATGCACATATATTATCTCTCAAACTATATCGCTCTTAAAATTTGTGCAGCTTATTGACTTAATTTCCATGCACTTGGCTCAATATACTGATGTAGCATTTCAGTAGAAAGCAGCAATACAGCATTTCAACAGATGAAGGACTTCCACACAGAATTTAATTTTGATGCCCTTGTTGAAAGCAGCTGGATTGAAGGCTCTGGAAACTGCACCTCAGGGCCTTATTCTGAATGAAATTAAACCCATGAAAGCCAATGGAGTTGCACCAGTATAAGTGAGATCCATATCAGGCCTATCTTCTATACCCTGAGCAAGAATGGCATGGCAAGTGAGAGTTAGAGCCAAAAGAGCTACTGCAGCTTCTAAGTCTATTCCATCCATAGCCCATAGCCTGACTTCCAAAACAACAATCGAAGTTAATTGTGTTGGTTGTTTGGTGATATGGACATTTGTCCTTTGGTAACTGAGCTGAAACCACAGATTTATTTCACACATTAACAAACACGCCATAACAATTTCTGTTCAGTAGCATCCTACTGCATTTGAAACTGTGATCCAGAGCAGAGGCAAAAATGTCTGCATCCCATCACGAGTCTCCTCAAACAGTTTCCTGAAGAGTTTTCTACAACTGATCTAAATTTTAAAATTCAGCTATACCAGTCAGGAAGCTTCACCTTACAATAGAAAAACAGAAACAGAGGTTCTAATCTAAAATTAACGTCAATTAAACCAACATCTAACATTTTAATCATTTAGCATAGCAGTAAGCCATTCAGTGTTTCTTTGCATTAAATGATACACAATTGGCCTTGTTTTCTAATATATCCTGATTTTCATCTGAAATAGTTTGGTTAATCAAAATACCTGAAAATGTTTCCACAAGAACTGAAAGCTGCATAATTTTGCTAAAGTACTCACTCCCAGTCACTTTTGTGCTTATTGCTTATCTATCAGCACACAGATTTCTTTTTTAGCATGCTTTCTCTGAAATCACAGGCATATCCTGCAATTGTTATTCTGTAAATAGGTTCTCAGCAAGAAACTAGAACCATTGTCCTGAGCTATAGTTTAGTCTTCAAATAATTCTTTAGTTAAATGTGGAAAGTTCTTATACTAAAGCACTTTTGAAGAGTCTTTTTTTAAAGATGTAATTTGCTTTAAGTCACTTTTTCTGAAAATGCTCCAGTTTTGGACAATGGCTGCTAGCTTGCTGCCAGTTTTAACTTTAACTTTGTTCTGTATTTCAATTCAGGGTTGCTAAATAAAGTATACAGAATATAAGTCAGTATCCATTTTAATGTCCAGAATGACTACTAGGACGCGGATATTTCAGAATGCATAGTTTGTCATGTTACATGCTATGACCTCAAAACATACAGATGGTAAAATAAAACAATAAAAACAAAAGATTTGAAGAAAAAGACACAGAAAGGGAATGATGTCACTGAAGTAGGATGAAAATAAGATTTTCATCTTTACTATAGAGGTTATACATGCGAAGGGGTGTGGTGAAACACACTGGATGAAGAAAATTATGAAACAGCAACACTAAAAATCTTTCATAGAACTGATTCTAAATGGTGTCAAAAATATGGACGATGTTTTCAAATAGGGTATGGTGTTATCAGGCAACATAATAGTGGGGCAATGCATTGCCCCCATACTGTGGCAACAGTTTAGCATCCTAACACTCCCTGAAAGCCCACTTGCAAAGTGATGAGGAGCACCATTAGTTTCTGATGAAATCATAGAATTGCTTTTAACAAGATGTAGCCACCCAACTATTACATATACTCAAATGAATTAATTTGATGAAGAAATTTGCTATTAAGAATGTTACCTTCATTTCCACCAGTTATGCTTGTGCCTCACCCTTCTAATTTGTATTACTAGCTGTAAATATTTCCTTTTGTCTTTTAGTAATGCCAATTGATTCCAATCCAGTAACACTGCATATCAGCAGTAAAGAGACTTTGAGTAAGTGCTTTCAACATCAGCTATGAATATTTGCATTAATATAAAGTAAAATTATTTGAAAATATTCTTAATTAAAAACAATTACAGGCTGATATGATGGATGTATGAGATCCTTAGACTTTATTGCATGCAAGACATGAGAAGGTGTGTTAATTGAAACAATGCCAACCAAGTCTGTAGTATGCATACCAAGTGATTTCACATGCAAGAAAGGAGTAGTTATGGAAATGAAACAAATAAAAAGGCAAAAGATTGCAAAACAAAATATTTTTATTAGGTGCAAAACAAACTATATGCAATATATATTAGCTATTTTACATCTTCATAAACATTAGTGAGCATTCTTTTCAAAACATATTAAGGCAGTGGCATCATTTTCATTATCCAAACATACAATATTAAAAAAAACTCTAAAGGGGTCTCCCTTATACATGCACTGGTCACCACTGAACGTTACATGAATTTCAGCTTGGGTTCAAACACAATTTCTGTTCCATTTGAGAGTTTACAGAGAGAATCTCTTACTTCAAGTTCTAGCACTCTGAATTCTAAGAGCTCATTCTGGTCTTTCGCATCCTGCATCTCGGTCTTCAGCTGATTCTCTTCCTGTTCCATTTTGTAAATCTAAGAGACAACACAATATCAAACAACTAAGATCTGGAAAAGCAGTATATCTGGTTACATATACTGATTCTTCGCATTTTTTTAAGAAACTATAACATTTCTCAGTATTCTCATTCTCAGTCGCTTGTGGAAACAAGAGTTAAGAATTAAACGCTAAGCTAAAAAAGTTTTAGCCTAAATTTCTTACAAAGGTCTGAACTGCAAACACTTTGTGTGTAGTCTTTACTTTGTGCACTTCAAAAATACCTTTGAAGTTTAAATTGAGTCCATTTATGTGCCTGAAGTTAAGCACATACAAAAACATTTGCTGGATCACGACCTTAGACAAAATATCCACTGAATTCAGTGCATAGCCAGTTGGCTGGGTGTCAAGTCTTGGAAATGAGGAAGCAGTACGTTAGAAACAATGTTATTGGCTCGTGAGTAGACGGACAAGATATTCTCAATAAGCAGACAATAATTTGTCTGGTCTGGAGTTTTCCAAAGACACATTTTAAAAAGCATATATGGCAAGTGATACAAATCCTGCAGCTAAAACTAAAAATGATGATCCAACTTTCAGCACCAGCTCCATGAGACTGGGCAAAGCACACAGTATTTGAAGTCTGGTAGTCTGTTCACGCGTACTTTCTTTTTTAAACCAAATTTAATGCAATGGTAATGGACATTTAAGGCTTTATACCAAATTAAACAATTGATCCAATTAGAAAGAAACAGGAGTGGCAGCAATCTTAGTCCTAGATTTGTATCATGTTATTGTATCATTTTCAGTAACAACCAAGTACCCTTTTTGCATTACTATTACCATTTCAGACTTATATTTACCAGCAACTTGAGACATCAACCAGTTTAAGTCCCCATTGTGCCGGACATTGTATGGCCATCCAGGAAATGATAACCTCTACCCAAGAGGAGAGGTTTGATAGCGCTTTAAACTCAAATTATCACACTTGCCATTTCTGGGTAGAAATAAACTGAGTGACTTCCACCTCGGCATTCTAACCTTTGGCACATCAGTTTCGTTTATAATTCCTATTAAAAAGCAATACTCAGAGGTTCCCAGATTCTGACCATATACCTTTTCAAACAACTCTTGATTTGTTCTGATAAGCAGCTGCTTCTCTTCTATCCATTTTGAATCCTG